ACCGTCCAAGCACGGCTCGGGATACGGAGCGGGGCCTGGGCAAGGGGTCGAGGCTTCGGGGGACCGCCGCGGGGGAGCTGCGCCGAGGTTTGCGCACGGCCCGGGCATGTCTGGGCGGCTGGCGCCCTCCACCCCACAGAGGTATCCAACGCATCTCCAGCGCACCTCCACGCATCTGGTTCTTCCGTTTCCGGCCTCTAGAGGCCCTCGCCAGGCCCTCTGGGACAGTCAAAGCACGGCTGAGGATGCGGAACGGGCTCTGGGGAAAGGGTCGGGACTTCCTGGGGGCCCGACCTGGAAAAGAGCAGGACATCGCATGTCTGCGTCTGGGCAGCTGGCGCCCTGTTCTTCAGGAGAGGCCGAGTCCAAACGGAGGAAGCCCAGACAGAGTTCGAGCACTTCGTATGGACCCACTCCGTACGTACTCAGGTTCGGGCCTAGCCTCCCATCAGGAGAGGCGAAGTCCAGAGGGAGTCTGCCCAGACGGAGACCGAGCATTCCGTACGGACCTACTCGGCATTGACTTGGCATCCCATCAGGAGAAGCCAAATCCAGACGGTAGATGCCCAAACGAAGACCGAGCACTCCGTCCGGACCTGCTCCGTATGGACGCAGCCTCCTCTCAGGAGAGGCCACGTCCAGACTCAAGAAGCCCACACGGAGACCGAGCACCCCGTATGGACCTACTCCGTATGGACGCAGCCTCCTATCAGGAGAGGCTGAGTGCACACGGAAGAAGCCCAGACGGAGACCGAGCACTCCGTACGGACCTGCTCCGCATTGACTTGGCATCCCATCAGGAGAGGCCAAGTCAAGACGGAGAAAGCCCGAAAGAAGAGAGCACTCCGTATGGACCTATTCCGTATAGACTTAGCCACGTCCAGACGCAGGAAGCCCACACGGAGACCGAACACTCCGCACGGACCTACTCTGCATGGACTCAGCCTCCTCTCAGGAGAGGCCACGTCCAGACTCAGGAAGCCCACACGGAGACCGAGCACTCCGTACGGACCTACTCCGTATGGACGCAGCCTCCTCTCAGGAGAGGCCAAATCCAGACTCGGGAAGCCCAGACGGAGACCGAACACGCTACGGACCTACTGCGTATGTAATTCGCCTTTTTTCCGGGAAAGGGCGCAGGCCCAGGGTTCTCTTTTAGTTTTGTAATTCCCCCCGGTGCCAACTTCTGTAGGGCCGGCGGATTTCCGCTCGATGAAAAACGAGGCAAAGTCCAATTCGGCGTGAAAAAAAAAGTTTCGCGCTTGCCCGCTCGAGGAAAGTCGACCCCCCACCTCGGATCCTCGATAATTAACGGGGTCCGCAAACCCCCGTTTTCCTCGAGTAAAACCGATGTGAAGTCGAATTCGGCGCGGAAAATGCGTTTCGTGCGTGCCCGCTCGAGAAAAGTCGACCCCCCATCTCGGATCCTCTTAAAAGAAAGGGGTCCGCAGACCCACGTTTTCCTTCATAAGAACGACATAAAAATCAGCACGGCGCGGAAATCGTGAAAATGTTGAGTTTTTGCGTGCCCGCTCGAGGATGGTGTGCCCCCCGCGCCAACAAATCGAGGATGTCTCGAGCGAAACGCTTGTTCTGCAAAACTTGAAGGACCTGGGCGCCCCAGCATGCCCCAGGAGGCCCTGGGAGCGCGGACGCGGCGTAATCTACGAGCGATCGTGGCCCTCGGAGCGCGGGCGCAGCGTCATTGACGATGGGCCGGGGCCTTGTCTGCTCGGACGCACTGTAATTTACGAGGGATCGTAGCCCTGGGAGCGCGGGCGCAGCGTAAAATACTAGGGGATCGGGGCCCTGGGGGCACGGACGCAGCGCAATTTACAAGGGGTCGTGGCCCTGGGAGCGCGGACGCAGCGTAATTTACAAGGGGTCGGGGCCCTGGGAGCGCGATCCCGATGTAATTTACGAGGGAGCGTTGCGGAACGCCCATTGGCACGTTCCGTAGCGCGTCCCCTCGGCACGTCCCGCGGTGCGTCCCCGTGGCACGTCCCCTGGCGCGTCGCCTGGCGCGTCCCTTGGGACGTTCCGCGGCGCGTCCTCCTGGCACGTTCCCCTGTCTTTTAGCTCTGGGGCAGCTGCTATGTGCTGAGACAGCTCGAGCTTAAGATCCAGATCAGTTCGGTCAGGACTCGGATGCAAAGGAGGACTCGATCCACAACGCTATAGAGCACAATCGCGGCATGGCACATCGCAATTCAACACGGCGCTGCACAGCACAGCCCTCGGCACGGTACGTCAATACCGATACACTCAGCATTGCGTTTGCCCGTGGACCAATCAAGTGTCTTTGAAACGTTTTGGACAGATCAAATCCAGACGCAAGAAGCCCAGACGGAGACCGAGCACTCCGTACGGACCTACTCCGTATGGACACAGCCTCCTGTCAAGAGAGGCCAAGTCCAGACGCAGAAAAGCCAAGACGGAGACCGAACACTCCGTACGGGTCTACTCCGTATGGACTTGAGCCCCCTTTATCAGGAGAGGCCACGTCCAGACGCAGGAAGCCCACACGCAGCCGACGAGCACTCCGTTCGGACCCTCTCCGTATGGACTCCGCCCCCTATCAGGAGAGGCCACGTCCAAACGCAGCAAGCCCAGACGGAGACCTACTCCGTACGGACCTACTCCATATGGACTCAGCCTCCTTTCAGGAGAGGCCGAGCTCAGACGCAAGAAGCTCAGACGGAGACCGAGCCCTCCGTACGGGCTTTAGCCTCCGATCAGGAGAGTCCAAATACAGACGCAAAAAAGCCAAGACGGAGACCGAGCACTTCGCACGGACCTAGTATGGCCTTCTAGCCTCCTGTCAGGAAAGGCCAAGTCCAGACGCAATAAGCCCCCACGGAGACCAAGCACTCCGTCCGGACCTACTCCGTATGGACTTCTAGCCTCCTGTCAGGAGAGGCCACGTCCAGACGCAGCAAGCCCACACGGAGACCGAGCACTCCGTCCAGACCTACTCCGTATGGACGAAGCCTCATCAGGAGAGGCCACGTCCAGACGCAATAAGCCCGCACGGAGACCGAACACTCCCTACCGACCTACTCCGTATGGACCCATCCCCCTTTCAGGATAGGCCACCAGGAAGCCCAGACGGAGACCGAACACTCCGTACGGACCTACTCCGTATGGCCTTCTAGCCTCGTTTCAGGAGAGGCCAAGTCCAGACGCAAGAAGCTCAGACGGAGACCGAGCCCTCCGTGCCGACCTACTCCAAATAGACTTCTAGCCTTGTTTCAGGAGAGGCCAAGTCTAGACGTAGCAAGCCCCCACGGAGACCGAGCACTCCGTACGGACCTACTCGGACCTACTCCGTATGGACTTTAGCCTCAAGGAGAGGCCAGACGCAGGAAACCCAGACAGAGACCGAGCACTCCGTACAGGGCAGTTTTTCATACATAGAATGTCTAAAGACATACGATTGTTTAGAACATTATCAATGTATGAATAAATGTATGCATGAGCTCATCGTTGTTTTTGCTACTAGATCCCTGCATGTTTAATACATGATCCGCACGCGGAGCATGTATTAAAAACGGCACTGTATGGACTCAGCCTCCGCGGGGCTCTCGCCTCGTGCGCGGCGCGGCGCGCAGCTGGTGACCGAGGGGCCCTGCGTCGCCGCCTCTCCCGGCGATGCTCGTGGCGAACACGAGGGGCAAGGCGAGGGTGGGCAGCAGGGGAAGCGACAGGTCGGAGGGGGGCTGGCCAAAACATCGGCGGCGAACGAGGAGGAGGAGGAGGAGGAGGAGGAGGAGGAGGCTGCGAACCAGGAGGAGGAGGAGGAGGCGGCGAACGAGGAGGAGGAGGAGGAGGAGGAGGAGGAGGCGGCGAACGAGGAGGAGGAGGAGGAGGAGGAGGAGGAGGAGGACGGGTGTTTTTCTTGCTGCTCTGGGCGGTGGAGGTGGCACTATCAGCATGAGGGCGGAGGGGAGGTCGTCCATCACTCCTCCGCTCTTCCGAGCCCTTCGTGTGCCTGGCTGGCCGTGGCGTTGCCCGTGCGTGCGCGGGAGCGACTGACGCCACGGGCGCGGAGTTCGCACATCGGCATGCCCAGGGAGGAGGAGCAGGAAGAGGGGGAGAGCACGACGCTTCAGCTGGCCCTCCAGTGTGACAGGGAACAGAGCAAGACCATCATCCCGTCTCAGAGACGTCTTTGCCTCTCCCGGAGAGAACTGGAACGAGCGGACGGTGAACGCAGAAGGTTTCGAATCAGCTCAAGTACAATAACCCGGGCTCCACCCTGGCTGGCTGCTACAGCTGCGCCCCCGCCGTCACGACGAGCTCCAGAGACGTCCACGAAGATCCGAAGCGACGCGGTCGACGACCTCGACAAAACCCGATCCGTGGGCCTCCTCCTCCTCCTCCTCCTCCTCCTCCTCCTCCTCCTCCTCCTCCTCCTCCTCCTCCTCCTCCTCCTCCTCCTCCTGGGTCTCGACAACAGCCCGCTCAAAACCCGTCCCTAGACCCCTCTGGAGGTCCCTCCTGGGCGGCCTGGCTTCTCCTTGCGGATCGGCCCAGGAGACGGCCCTCTGGAGCCCGAAGCGGGGCCCCCCGAGGCCGAACTCGGTCCTCGAAAACCTCGAGACCTGACCTCGAAAACCTTGAAAACCTCGAGACCGAACATCGAAAGCCTCGAAAACTCGAGGGGCGCCGAGAACAAGCCTCGAAAGCCTCAATCCTCGACCCTCCGCTCGGAGGGGGGGGGGGGGGGGGGCGACGCCTGGCCGCAGTGCATCCCCCGCGGCGGCGAGGACGGGAGGAAGACGAGGACTAGGACGAGGACGAGGAGCAAAACGAGGAGGAGGAGGAGGAGGAGGAGCAGAAGGAGGAGGAGGAGGAGGAGCAGAAGGAGGAGGAGGAGGAGGAGAAGGAGGAGGAGGAGGAGGAGGAGGAGGAGGACGAGGACGAGGAGGAGAGTCGACGAGGGCGCGGCCGATCTCGATGGGGCACCTCCTGGCGCGATCATTCACCGACGCCCCCGTGCTCCTGGCGGGGCGAGGCCTTCTGCATGAAGCCGAGGCGGAGGCCAGCTCTCGCGAGCATCCCGACGTCCTGTGCGTCGTCGTCGTCGGCGGCGGCGACGTCGGCGTCGTGGTCTTGGTCGTGGTCGTGGTCGTGGTCGTCGTCGTTGTCGTCGTCGTGGTCGTCGTCGCCGCCGCCGTCGTCATCATCGTCGTCGTGGTCGGCGGCGGCGGCGGCATCGGCGTCTGCGTCGGCGGCACCATCACCAGCTCTCGCGAGCACCCCGACGTCCTGAGCTGGCGACTCGTCGACCCCGATCAAGTCGTCCGCCGTCGCCGGCCTCGACTGGAGGCCCTGCACGGCCGGCACCGTCGTCATGATCGTCGGCATCGGCGGCGTCGTCGTCGGCGGCGGCGTCGGCGTCGGCGGCAGCATCATTGTGGGCGTCGTCGTCGGCGGCGTCGTCGGCGTTGTCGCGGTCGCCGTCGGCGTTGTCGTTGCGATGGTTGACGGCGTTATGGAGAGTGGCGTTTGGCGGCGGCGGAGGAAGAGGAAAAGGAGCGGGAGGAGGGGGAGAAGAGCAGGAGGAGGAGCGTGGAGTCCGCGTTCAACGAACCCTCAGGCCGACAGGAACCAGGAACCAGAAGGAGCGAGGGAAAGGTGGGCAGGGAGAGGGGTGAGCAGTAGGAGCAGGAGGAGCAGGAGGAGGAAGAGGAGGAGGAGGAGGAGGAGGAGGAGGAGGAGGAGGAGGAGGAGGAGGAGGGTAGATGTGGCGGGTGGCAACTGGTGCCTGGAATGGTACGTGGCGGCACGAATGCCTTGAGATGGAGGTACGGGTCACCCCCCTCTACGGACGTCTTCGTTGGCCGAGGGACCGTAGGGGGGTCCTCGGCCCCCTCCGGCGCCTATTGACGGCAAAATGGAAGGTTGACTGGTGGGAGCGGGAACCCTCGCAACCCCATTGATGGAAGCTGCGAGGGGTGTGAGGCCTAATGACGGTCCTCACCGACGAGGCCTAATGACGGTCCTCGCCGAGGGGAGGGGCGAGAGGGAGGGGGGCCACTCCGAGTGTGGATGCCGCCCGCGATGCCTCTCACTTCTGAGGCGGGATTATTGCCAATGGGGGCCCACAAACCAGCATGCACAGTTTCGATCAGTTTCGACTCCGAAACTGTGTATACGCCACACCCCCCGGAACCTCGAGGACAGATTTTTCACTACACCGACGGACCAGTTTCCTGTCGGTGCCCCGGCGCTGCGTTTCAGCATCCGTTGGTGGCTAACCCAGAGGAGCCCGGCGCAACGAAATTGTCACGAAATTCGGCTCCCGAATAAGCCGCAACCAACAAGCACGGAAGGACCGGTGCACCGAAAATCATGTCTCCGGCAGCCTCTCCGGGGACATCAATCGGCGCCCTAGGCAGAATCGGGTTGTGTTTCATCCAACCACCACCTCGCCCGATCGGCGTACCCCCTTGAATTCCCGATGCCGGTGGGAGGGGGCGGGGGGCACATAAGTTACATAGAATCTACATCAGTAGCCGCCACCCGGCTGGACCTCGGTGACCTCGGGGGGGTCCCCAGCCTCGGTGACCTGTCCGCGGCCTCCTGAAGCCTACTGAGGTCACTGGTGCGGGTTCAAACGGCCTGCGTCCCCGCCTCGGGAAACGGGGAGGAGGAGGTGGAAGACGAACGGGGAGGAGGCGGTTGAAGACGAAGGAAAGCGGGGGGGGGGGGACAAAAAAAGGGGGCGGGCAAGGGGCCAGAGCGGGGACGGGGAAGAGAGGGGAGGGGAGACAGAGACTGAAGTCAAACGTAGATTTGTGGCCCCAAGGGATCCTGGAGGTAGGTCTTCTCGATTGGTTGGCGGGGAGTGGGCACGACCGCATGAGTGCCACTACAGCACGGGTCGAACCATCACCCTAGGTGGGCGGGGAGAGGGACACGACCGCATGAGTGCCATTACAGCACGGGTCGAACCGTCACCCTTGGTGCACTGCTGGGGTGGCCCAAGTGCCAAAATGTAAAGGCTGACTGACATTGACAGGCACAATCAGCCGGCAGGGGAATAAATCCCGCTCACGGCCCAAAGGAGGATAGATGTGGCGGGTGGCAACTGGTGCCTGGAATGGTAGGTGGTGGCACGAATGCCTTGAGATGGAGGTACGGGTCACCCCCCCTACGGCCGTCTTCGTTGGCCGACGGACCGTAGGAGGGTCCTCGGCCCCCTCCGGCGCCTATTGACGGCAAAATGGAAGGTTGACTGGTGGGAGCGGGAACCCTCGCAACCCCATTGATGGAAGCTGCGAGGGGTGTGAGGCCTAATGACGGTCCTCACCGACGAGGCCTAATGACGGTCCTCGCCGAAGGGAGGGGCGAGAGGGAGGGGGGCCACTCCGAGTGTCGATGCCGCCCGCAATGCCTCTCACTCCTGAGGCGGGATTCCTGCAAATGGGGGCCCACAAACCAGCATACACAATTTCGACTCCGAGACTGTGCATACGCCACACACCCCGGAACCTCCAGGACAAAATTTTCACTACACCGACGGACCAGTTTCCTGTCGGTCCCCCGGCGCTGCGTTTCAGCATCCGTTGGTGGCTAACCCAGAGGAGCCCGACGCAACGAAATTGTCACGAAATTCGGCTCCCGAATAAGCCACAACCAAAAAGCACGGAAGGACCGGTGCACCGAAAATCATGCCCCCGGCAGCCTCTCCGGGGACATCAATCGGCGCCCTAGGAGGAGGAGCAGGAGGAGGAGGAGGAGGAGAAGGAGGGGGAGGGGCAGGAGGAGGAGAAGGAGGAGGAGGAGAAGGGGGCAGGAAGAGGGGAGGAGGAGGGAGGAGGAGGAGGAGGAGGAGGAGAGAGGAGGAGGAGGAGGAGGAGGAGGAGGAGGAGGAGGAAAGAGGAGGAGGAGGAGGATGAGAAGGAGGAGGAGGAGGAGAGGAGGAGGAGCAGGAGGAGGGGGAGGGGCAGGAGGAAGGAGGAAGGAGGAGGAGGAGGAGGAGGAGGAGGAGGAGGAGGAGGAGGAGGGGGAGGAGGAGGAGGAGGAGGAGGAGGAGGAGGAGGAGGAGGAGGAGGAGGAGGGAGGAGGAGAGGGAGAAGGAGAGGGAGGAGGAGGAGGGGCAGGAGGATGAGGAGGAGGAGGAGGAGGAGAAGGAGGAGGAGGAACAGGAGAGGAGAAACAGGAGCAGGAGCGGGAGGAGCAGCTGCAGGCGGGGGAGGACACGCCGCGGAAGCCTGCAGCCCCACCACGATGCCCCTGGGCGAGGGCCCCTCAGGCGGGCTGCGGCTGCGCCGCCGTAGCTTCTGCGCGCCCGCGCCAGTGCGCCCGCGCCTCCTGCGGGACGTCGTCGTCGTCGTCGTCGTCGTCGTCGTCGTCGTCGTCGTCGTCGTCGTCGTCGGCATCATCGTCGTCGTCGTACTCGACGTCGTCGTGCTCGTCGTGGTCGTCGTCGTCGACGTCGATGTCGTCGTCGTCCTCGTCGTCCTCGTCGCCACCGTCGCACTACAGGGAGGGATGTAATGGGCAGGAGGATCAGTAGAGGAAGAAGAAACGCCATAAGCATAAACGTTTGGCGCTCCGCGCGGAGTTCTTGGGTCTGCGCTGGACCCCCCGCCCTGCCGCGCGCGGAGCGCGCCAGGGGAGGCGCCAGAGGCGACGCCGAGAGGGCCCACCGCGGAACCAAGAAATCCGCGCGGCGCGCCGAAAATCTACGTTTACGGCGCTTTTTCTTCAAATCATGCTCGAACAAATCCTCTTCCCCTCCTCCTCCGGTTCTCCCTCCTCCCATCATCTCGTACTCATCCTTTTCCTCGTCGGCGTTTCCCTGAAAGACATCCCTGTTCCTTCACCTCCTCCTCCTCCTCCTCCTCCTCCTCCTTTTCCTCCTCCTTCTCCTCCTCCCTGTCTTCCCCGCTGTTCGGTGTGTCCCTCCTTGTGTTCCTTCACCTACTTCACCTCCTTCCTCCTCTCGAGCCCTCTTCATCCTGCGCTCCCCTTCCCTCCTCGTCCTCAGCATCCCTTCCCAAGCCAGAGAGTCAGTGAACAAGATAATATTACAAGAACAATGTCCCTCCTCCTCTTCCCCCTCTTCGTCCTCCTGGTCTTCCTCCTCCTCCTCCTCCTCCTCCTCCTCCTCCTTCCTCTCTCCTCCCTCCTCCTCCTCCTCCTCCTCCTCCTCCTCCTCCTCCTCCTCCTGGTGACACGGATGATGGCATTCGGCCCATCCCGCGCCTGGGTTGGGGATCAACGGCCTCTTGGGTGGCTGCAGGGAGCCTCTTGGAGCCAATTGTGAACCTTGTGGGGGTCTCTTAGGGGACCGTTTGGGGGCCTCCTGGGGGCTTTTGAACTCTCTTGGGCTCGCTTGGGGGTCGTTTGGGGATCTTGGGGACTCTTGAGGGCCTCCTGGGGGCATGTGTTGGCCTCTTGGGCGCCTCTTGGGAGCCTCCTCGGGGTCTTGGGGATCCTCTTGGGGCGGGAGGCTCGAACTTACAGTTCGAACGCCCCCTCTGGGGCCCCGTGTTGGGGCCCACTTTCACAACGTTGCTCATCGCCTTCGTGGTACTCTGCTTCCTCCTGGGCGTCGACCTGGTCAAGTGGCGCTTCCTCCCCTGCAGTGCTTGTGGCTGGTGTTCGCGAAGTGCCGTTGACGGCAACACCTTTACCTTCGCCTTCCGGGTCTTCGCCCTCGGTCCCTGTCCATGGCGTACCTTTTCCTGCACATCCACTTCGGCACCGCCTGCTCCCCGGGCCCCGCCCGCTCCGGCCGCCTGAGGCCCCACCTTCCTGTGCCCTGTCTCCCCAATTAAAGCTGTGCGTAGCCCGCCTAGCTATTAGTGAAGAGGTTCGCTCTCGCCCCGCAGATCAAAAAAGTGTTGGGGCCCACTTGGGGCGTTCTTGGGCGCCTCTGGGGCCGTCCTGAAACCCTCTTGGGCCATTTTGGGGCACTCCTGGGTGCCTCTTGGGCCGTCTTGAAGCGATCTTGGGGGCCTCTTGGGCCGTCGTTGTCCATACGAAGATCAACAAATGGACATGCGAAAAACGCGCGTCTCCATATAGGAATGGGCCGAGGTTTGCCTCTTAGGGCCCTGTTGGGGATCCTCTTGGAACCATTTTGGCCCGCCCGCAGACATCTTGGCCCGTCTGAACATATATCTGGAAGCTCTGGGGGGGCTGTGGGCAGCTCCAGGGAGGCTCTGGGGACGCTCCGGGAGCCGAGGGGCACTTAGTGTACCCTGGGTGCCCTTGGTGTGCTAGGGCCCGGGGCCCCCGGGGCCAGGTTTCCGGAAATTGAAAGAATCATCCCGAGGTGCATTCACGATGCTGCACGGCACCCCCCCATTCCAGGTCCCCTCCCCATAAGCCCGTGCAAGCCTTCCCTCCCACTGCCAGAGGCGCCCCCTTTGAAACTCTGGCTCCGCATGGGCCTGCCGTTCGCGCGAGAGCCCCGTTTTGAGAATGAGCTGCGCTGCATCCATCCAGCGAACAACAATGCATTCGAAAAGGCATGACCATACAGCTCGACGATGTGCATGGCGAGATTCCCACATTTAAAACAGACCGCGCCCATCTGCGTAACTGTTGCAAAAGGTTGCACTCCTGACCATGACCTTCGAGGAGGACTCAAGCGAGGGCCCCCATTTTGACAAAAGACCGCCCGTCATCTTGGCAGCCGTTACATCTGTTCGACCTCATGGTCTTCCAGAATAAGGGGCGTCACGAGCGAGAGCCCGGTCTTGAGAAGGAGCTGTCCCCCATGCCTGCAACTGTTGTAGAGACTGGAAACGAATGTGCGCAGCGCTACGGCCAAAGTTCCATTTTAGAAGGGAGACGCCCTCAAGAAGGCCCGCGGCACGTAGGTGAGGGCCACATGTTGAAAATGAGCCGCCCTCCATCCGTGAAGCCCTTACCAACTTTCAAAGCGAATGTGCGCGGCGCTAGGGCGAGAGCCCCCTTTTGAAAACCATCCCCCTGCCATCCGTGCAACTGCTGCATGCGTTTCAGACGAATGTGCGCGGGGCGCTGAGGCCAAAGCCACGTCTTGAAAACGGCACCTCTCGATCTGTGCAACTGCCGCATCTCTGAAAAACTCATGTGCGCGGCGCTGAGGCGAAAGCCGCGTTTTGAAGACCACCCCCGAATTACAACGCCCTGCACGCCCTGACGACACGTCAGGGGGCGCGACAGGGTCGCGTTACCTGAAAAGAGAAGGGACCTGGGAGGAGGAGGAGCAGGAGGAGGGTTAAGAGGGGAGGGGGAATGAGTATGAAGTAAGAAGTGGGGCCTGGATTCAGAGGCCAGACATTAGCCCATGGGCCCGTCTGGGAATGTGCTGCGGCCAGGATCCCAGGGCGAATCCAGCCGTGGACATGAGGACGCCCAGGGAGCCACCGAACAGAAAGCACCCGAAAACCACAAGCCTCGAAGCACCAGGCGCCCAGCTTGGCGCGCCCGCAGTGGGCACGGAAAACATGGGCATGATGCCCAACAGCACATGTCGTCCCAAACCGAAAGCGGCCGCTGTTAGGCAGGCGAGCTTGCGCCTCAAATGGACAGCGCCCGCGGTGACACGGACAGCGAATCCTGCCCAGAATGGGCAGGATCTGCTGTTGGTCTTCGTCCCCATCCTTTCCGTACCCATTTCGGTCGTACCGACCAGCTGGGGTCCTGGCCCCAGTCGTGCCGGCGGCGGAGCGGTACCCGTCGCTAGACGGCGGCGCGCCCTCGTACATGGGCGGCGCATCGTTCCAGCCGATGCCAGCGGCCTGTATGCACTGGCCGCACGTGCCCCAGTTGCACTCCTGACAGCAGAGAGGTAGGCCCGTCGGGGGATCCTAGATCTCCTCGCATCGTGACCAAAGAACAAAAAAACGACAGACGGTTTCTGGCGAGTTGGACGTCGGGCCCTCATCGGGCTTCTGGAAGCGTCAGAGAACTCCTCGGGGTGTGAAGCTAGCACCAGAAGGGGTCGAGGCATCTGGGGGTCCGCACTGTGGATTGAACGCCATGCGGGTCTGGGGAAGAGGGGGAGGAGGACCGGAAGGAGGACAAAAAGGGCGACGGCCAGGACGGCCTGAGCGACTGCTGCACTTGCGGCAGCGGCCCCTGGCCGCACACATTTGTCCCACGGTCTTAGATGTCAGGCGTCTCGCGCGTGGGGGCACGGCGGGAGGAGGGAGGAGGGAGGAGGGAGGAGGGAGGAGGGAGGAGGGAGGAGGGAGGAGGGAGGAGGAGGAGGAGGAGGAGGAGGAGGAGATGGAGGTGAAATCCTTTCTGGGCCTTGCGGGCGCCCCGCGGAGCGTGGGGCGCAGGCCTTCCAGCAGCCCCTGGCAGGGCCCGCCCGGAGGGCCACAGGGGACACCCCGGAGAACCCCGGCACCGCCTCGGAGGGTCTGAGCTGCTGGCCCGGAGCCTCCGTCGCCAGGTGCGTGCGCGTGTATAGTATGCAAACATGCATGCATGCGTGCGTGCGTACGTACGTCAGTATACAAGCATACGGGCATATGCATAAATGCATACGTGCATGCATGCATACACACATACATATGGGAGAGAGAGAGAGAGAGCAGCATGCACGTGTCTTAATGAGATGCTTGAGTTCGAGTGTATTAACAAAAAAGCGCGAGCCCCTGGAGAAGCACTTTACAGAAAAAGTGCAAGGGTTGCCAGGGAGGGGGATCAACAGCATCTGTTCTTTAGAAACGAGAACTCAACAACCACAGAAACAACAATCATGTTAAGACTGCTTGCTCTGATCTGCTCGCGTGCCATTCAACACGTGTATCCCAAACCCTTAGGGGTTGGGGTATATCTTTCTTACCTGCCATGCGAATTGAGTGCAGCCCCTGAGGGAGGGAAGGAGAGGAAGGATGAAAGGAAGGGACCAGGGGGAGGGAGGAGGACGGAGTACGAGAGAGAGCAGCAGGAGGGGGGCTAGCAGCAGAAACCACGTGGCAGAACCAGGCGGGAAGATCGAGCGGGCAGACCCTCACGGGCAGGTCGGGCGGGAAGTTCCGAGCAATAGTGCGACTCCCAAATCAATCATGAGGAAATCCACCGCGAGAGCGTGATTCCTGAGTGTCGAGGGCGCGGCGTTTGAATAAAGTATGAGGAAATCCCACGCGAGAGCGCGATTCCTTTTTAAATTGTGAAGACTTCCCGCGCGAGAGCGCGATTTGGGAATACATTGTGAGGAAAATCCGGCGGGAGCCGCTGTTGTTGCAAATCTGTGGCCAGGGGCAAAATTTGGTGACACTTCACTTCCCCTTGTGACAAACAGGGCGCGAGCTCTGAGATAAACACTTTAATTGAAAAATATAATGGTTACTGGGCAGCGGGGATCAACGATACTTACTCTTTGGATGTCATAATTCAACAACCTAGCAGCAAAGCAACAGCAATCCGCACCGCGGAACCCACTTCAGCCACGCACCCAGGGTCAGTGAATGACGGTTCGGCCCCCTCAGTCTGATACACACACACACATCCATAAACACACTTCCCCTCTGCTTGCTAATGCCTGGTGGGCCACCTGCACGCAACGCGTAGCAGATACGAGAGAGGAAAAGGAAGAGGGGGAGGAAGAGGAGGAGGACGACGACGACGAGGACGAGGACGAGCACGATGAGGAGGGCGGGGTGGAGAACTCCAAATGCACTCCTGGCAGTGGAGGATTGGCTCGTTGCGGTCCAGGGAACGCTGGCACACGTCGCAGACGTACCCGCCATCGCACAGGGCCCTCCTCAGCACGTGGCTGTTGGGGCACGCCTAAGAGGTAGAAGACATGCCGATACCAACACCCTCCCCTCGTCTTCGCCTTCCTGGGCCTCCCCCGGGGGGCCATCGCCCCACGTCTGGATCCGCACAGGGCCCCTGGCCAGAACGCACCAGCGCACCCCAGGAGGACTCGGGGGAGCCGCGGTACAGCCACCGTGCTACCATAAGGACCGCCAAGGGAGGGACGGAGAGGCCTTTTCTGGACACAGCGAGCCTCGGCCGCAGAGGGGTTCCCCGACCCAGGTCTGGGAAGGGGCCCGAGCACCAAAGCCCGCCCTCTGAGCCCAGAGTGGTCCAGACCTCAACGCCTCGACCGCTGCTGTCGCTGGCTTTCTGCTCTCCCGGGTGCCGGCTGGCACTCCGGCGAGTCCATCTGGATGAAGTGGTCGTGCGATCCCACCGGGCTGCTCCCGCCCCGCTGGCTTCGCGGGCTGCTCCCGTACACGGAGCTGTTCGGGTCCTCGTCGCTGTCGTAGTCCGTCACGTCGTCGAAGAACTCCTCCCCCGACGTGGGGGGCGCGTCATCGCTGAACTCGTCCGCCGCACCTGCCGCCTGCCACCAGTCACTGCGGGACTCTCCGTACTCGGCCCCGTTCTCGATCATCAGCCTTGGGAGAGGGATGGGCGCACCGCCTGTCCCCGTGCTCTGCAATGCTTGCTCAAAGCGGCTCCCCAGAGGTCTGGACCCTTTACCGGGGCTCCTCCTCCTCCTCCTCCTCCTCCTCCTCCTCCTCCTCCTCCTCCTCCTCCTCCTCCTCCTCCTGTTCCTCCTCATCCCTCCTCCTCCTCCGCCTCCTCCTATCCTCCTCCTCCTCGCCTCCCGCCTCCGCTCCTCCTCCTCCTCCCCTTCTCCTCCTCCTCCCTCCTCCTCCTCCCTCATCATCATCATCATCATCATCCTCCTTTTCCTCCTCCTTGTCCTCCTCCTCCTCCTCCTCATCCTCCTCCTGGTTCCTTCCCCATTCGTCAATTTACATCCACGTTTCCTTCTTGCCCCTCCCCCGACAACCCATCAAGCGCTCTCTCCAGCCGAGGCTTGGCCATCTTGCTGAGCATGCTGTCGATGCTGCCGCTGCAAAGGCCCTGAAGCTGCTCGATGCCGAAAAGGATGTTGGTGTTCATCAGCTCATCCATCGTCTCCTGCACGAGACCCCGGTCGCGCCCATTCCCCTCTTCCTCCAATCATCCGGCCCCTTCTCCCTACACTGACTCCTCCGATCCAACAAAAAATCCAGTCTTCGTTCTCCTCCTCCTCCTCCTTTCCCGCATCCTCTTCCTCCTCGTCCTCCGCCTCCTCATCGTCATCCGTCTCATGTTTCCCTTTACTCTCCTTATCCTCCATCGGCCCCATCGACTCTACTATTTCTGCTCCCTCCCACCCTGAAGTTCCTCCCCCTCTTCCTCCTCCTCTTTCTCCTCCAACTCCTCCTACTTATCCTCCTTCCTCTCCACCAACTACTACCGCTACTCCGAGAACTACGACTACGACTAGAACTACGAGTACTACTAAACTACGACAACGACCACAACCAACACCACGACTACTGCTTTTACTTCTACCGTTACTATCACTACTACTACCACTACTACCACTACTACTACTACTACTACTACTACTACTACTACGACGACGACGACTACTACTACTACTACTACTACTACTACTTCTACTACTACTACTACTACTACTACTACTAACTACTACTACTACTACTACTACTACTACTACTACTACTACTACTACTACTACTACTACTACTGTTACTACGACTACGACTACGACTACTACGACTACGACTACTGCGGCTACGACTACGACTACTACTACTACTACTACTACTACTACTACTACTACTACTACTACTACTACTACTACTACTACTACTACTACTACTACTACTACTACTACTACTACTACTACTACTGCTACTACTACTAC